TTGGTGGCCCCAGTGCCTCATTGTCCCATTGGTGGACATACCCCGGCTGGGATATTCCAGAAACCATGTTGTCATAGTGCCTAGACACATGTTTGTTGACCACAAAATGCTGGCCTGACACATCACATTCTCTTCATCGTGGTGTGAAGATCTTGCAGTCACCTCGTGGAAGCATCCAGACTTTTCAACCAGGAGGGAGATCACAAATGCAACAGAACTCAGGAGGCAGGAAGTTCTGACCAGGAAATCGAGTACATGAGGGGCCAAGAGCAAGACGGGTGATGTGGTGTGGTGGTGGTGGTGGGGAGCCTGGACACCACAGCCTGGCTGCCTCCACTTACCCTGGGAGAGCTTGTGCAAGTTCTCTGGGCCTCAGCGTCCTCATCAGGCAAATGGGACCATAACAGTACCTACCTCCTGGGGGTTATGTGAGCAGCGGGGCGAGTTAACAGTTGTAGACCACCTAGAACAGTGCCTGGCACGAGGCAAGCCCTAGACAGGGGATGGTTACATTAAAAACAAAACAAAATGAAAAACCCCAGAAAATAGGGGAATGGAATGTTGGTGACAGGAACATTCTGCAAATAGAGCGTGAAAAGACATCAGTCCCTCAGGATGGTCGAAAGACCTCAGGCCTCGGGAAGAAGGAGGCCACCTTGGTGGATATGACTGGTATTCCCATAGAACTTTAATTCTTTATTCTTTTAAAGAAATTTTACATTTCCTCCTTAGCTAAAAAAGAACAGGCAGCCCTGAATAACCCACGGTAGTACCCAGGAGTTGCCATAAATGGGATTTTAAAGACATTGGCAATTCCACCTCTGTGTATGGTTCTTTCTCAGAAAGTAATGCAGTCAGAAAAGCAACATGTTGCAGCAGAGAACACACCAGCAGAAGAAAGGGATCCATGTGCATGGTGAAAAATCGCCATTTAGTTGGATTCCACAGTGGGGTTGGGCCCTTCTGCTGCTTAAGATGGCCCTGGGGGCACGTTCTTCCATGAGGGCTCCTTCCACGGCAGCCCCACGCCAGACTCTCCCCAGCAGCCGAGGGAGCAGTGCGGGTGCAGACCCATCTTGCTCCTTCCCTTTCCGCTTTGGCTGTTCTCATCAGGGGCTCATAGTCCCAGCAAGGGCCTCTCCTCCCGCCCCATGTCACCCTCACCTGCTTTCCCCACTCCTCCCCGCACATTCAGAAATGCTGCAGAAAATGCATGGTGCTCGCCATAACCGCCTTCTTTACCAGCGCGAACAGGCCAGGGCTCTCTGTTTGCCGCGGCTGGAAGATAATATATAAGCCATTTTAAGCCTCGTGCCTATGAATCCAGCAGCCAGTATAATAAAACACCAGGTTATTTTGTGTTTTATTAACTGCCTCTTCCCTTCAGTTTGCATAATGGTGGGTTAGATTTACATGCCGTTAAGACGGCTGTGCATTATTTTAATAGAAGGTGCGAGGGGCTTCTCTCTCTCAGCCCTGGTGCGTGATAAAGGAACCTCATCCGATGCTGATGAAGATTTCGTTCACACTTGCTGGGTCAGGGCAATGTCTTTTTTTCCAGATGGATACCCTATTGTAAAATGATTTCCCGCTGTAAGCTTGCCTCTCTGTCCCTCTCTTCCGTGTCATCTTCCTAGGAACCAGATAAACTGCCTATTAAATTTAATTACAGCCTGAATGGCCACACATCTTGATCTTATGTTCCCCTGAGTGTACTGTATTCCACCAAGGTCCTTGAGGAAGGAATGAAATAAATCTGGAGGATGTGTGCCTACTCTCCGCAAGGAATGTTGTGGAAGCCAACCTTGGCCACCACCATTTTTATGGCTTCTATGACACCCCTTATGCAAACGTCTTTCTGGCTTTCCATGCCAACACTAAAAGCCGAAGTTAGTTTTATTGACTCCCGCAGACTGACGGAGGTGGAAAACTAAAAATATCAATTTGAGATGCACAGTAGCCTTTAGTGAGCTATTCATGTTTGTCAGAGGGCCAGACGCCAGGCCTGGGGAGCTCTGCCTTTCACTGGATAGTTTGGTTCTGCCTCAGGAGTCAGCAGACTCTAAGACCTCCTGAGCAGCCCTATGCCACAGCCTAGGACAAGCAGCGTCTTTGAGCCTCATCCTCAAAATGCTAGTCATCCTGGGACATATCAGACAAGCAAGGACTTGTGGGAACTTCATTCACACGTTGATTCTTCAGCAAATATTTATTGAGCTCCTATGATGCACCAGGCACTATTCTAGACATCGACAATACAGCAATGGAAAATCAGACAAGAAGTGTGTACAAATAAACAAACAATCACGTATGTGAGGAGCTAAGTGCTGAAAACACAGAGCGGGCTAGGGAGGCCGGGGTGCTGGGAGGGAGGGTGCTGCAGTTTTCAGTGGAGGGGCCGGGGAGGGCTTGAGAGAAAGGCCATTTGCTGGAGGCCTTGGAGGAATGAGGGAATGAGTCATGCAGAGGTCTGGGAAGAGCGGTCCAGGTGGGGAACTGCCAGTGCAAAGACACTGGGGCAGGAGCGTGACTTACTCAGGAATAGCAAGGAGACCCGCGTGGCTGAGATGGAGAGAGCTGGGCAGAGATGAGGTCCTTGCTGTGGTCTGAACCCTCTGGCTATGCCATGGGCAGGAAGGGGTCAATACTGATCAAACCCCCGGAGCACACCAGACACCACTTGCCTCCTTCTCCCTGATCCTAGTCAGTCCTCCATACAGTTTTCAGAGCTGGTGCTACATACCCCTGTGTACAGGTGGGGAGACTGAGGCTTGGTGAGAGGACATCCTTGCTGGAGGTCACACCTGTCAACCAAGTGGGGAAAAGGCCAGGTGTGGGGATCAGGTAGATGTGGGATCCACTTCCAGCCCCTCTCTGGCAAGTCTCCTCACCTCTCTGGGAACTTTCCGTATCCAACAAGGACATTAACAGTGACCCTTTCTTCACTGGTGGCTGTGGGGTCAGCGAGGTGAGGCATGGAGGCCCAGTGAGGCCTGCCGTAGTGAGTCTCAGCAATCCACAGGCACTTGTCCCACTAGGCTGGGAGCTGCATGAGGGGGAGGCTGGGTCTACCGTGACCTGGCCATGTGGAGGTGAGCCAAGAAGTGCTCATGGAAGCGAGGGAGGGAGGGAGAGGAAGAAGTGAATGAACAAGGGAGGAACCCACCCTCTAGGTGGCAGAGGTTTGGACCAAAATCTGCAAACCTACTAGTAGGGATGATACGAAGGGCTCCCTCCATGTATTTAATGACTATTCAGAGATAAAGGGTCTTGCAGGAACCTGGATCTCAAGTCCTGAATAGACCCTGGGTTCCAACTGCGTGTGCATCCAAGGGCAGCTGCTCTCCAGGCTCCCCTCGACAGGCTGCATCATGGGGCTGCCTGGCTGTGGCCTTAGTGCCTGGCCCTGTCTCTCGGGTGAGGGCATCCTCCCAAGGCCTGGGTCTGCAGAGGGACGAGTGGTTCCATGTGGGATGCTCGGCTCATCTGATGGCATGCACGTGGCCACCACAGCACTGAGAACCCCCAGAGACTCTAAGCCATTTTGTCATGTTATTTTGGGTTTTTTTCTTTTTATTATCATTGTCACTTTTTGCCTTTTATTTTTATTATGAAAAATTTCATAACATCAAATTAGAGAGCACAGTGTAATGAAGCCCCCTGATCACTCCACGGCCAATATTGTCTCATCTCTACCCCCTCACACATGCTCTGTCCACTACATACCATTTTGAAATAAATTACAAACAGCTCGTCATTTTATCTGTAGATATGTTAACATGTGTTCTAAATGATAGAAACTTCTGCAAACAAAAGAAAAACAGCAATGCTATTATTACTGTCCTGAAATAAAAGTAATATTTCAAATACCTTAATATCTCAAATTTCTAGTTTTCTCATATAGGTCACAATTTCTTTATAGTTTGTTTCAATCAGAATTTAGATACAGTTTGCACCTTGCAATTGGTTGATAAGTCTCCTAAACATCTTTTTCGGGTCAATTTTATTGTTTTATTTACGTAACGTGATTTTTATCCTTTTTATAGGTACAGTTAGATGAGTTGTGACGAAAGCATAGTCATGTAACCGTGACCTCAGTCATGGTGTGGAAAATTCCATCCCTCCAGAGAGTTCTTCTGCACCTGTGCTCAGTCCCCTCTCCCATTCCAGCACCTGGAAACACTGGTCTGTGCTCTATCACTAGAGTTTCTCCTTTTCCAGCTGTCACATGAATGCAACCGTGTGTGTATAGACCTGTATGTCTGTCCTCTTTCATGTGGCATAATGCTTTTGAGGTCCGTCCACGTCGTGGCAGTATCGCTGTGTCCTTCCTTGCTGATGCTGCTAGCATTTCACTGCACAGCTGTAATCACAGTGATTCAGCATTGATTCCGCAGTGATCGAGCATTTGGGTTGAGTCACTTTTAATCTATAGGTTTCTCTTTCCATTTCTTTTTTCTCCTTGCAATGTATTTGCTGAAGAAACCAGTTCATTGGCTTTATAGGGTTTCTGGCATTCTGGATGTTGACAATTGCACCCCTGTAGTGTAGTTTACCATGTTCCTAGATTTCCTGCAATTAGATCTAAAGTCTTGATCTGATTCAAGTTTGATTTTTGGCCTGACTGTCTCATAGGTGGCAGTGTGCTTTTGCATCAGGACACCCACATGCCTGTGTTTAAGATATTAGCCTCCACTGATGGTCAATGTCTACAGCCATTAATTCATCAGGGCTATAAAATGGTGAATCCTTACTTTGTCATTCCTTCTCCATTTATTAGCTGGACAATTGCATACAGAGGATCCTCCCCTCATGTTACTTGATTATCCAGTGGTACAGGTATAAGATTCTGAGAATCCAGGCTAAAAACTCAGCCACCCCACCAGGAAGCTCCATGGTCCAGGCTGATGTGTCAGCCCATTAATAGAAAACACATCAAGTTCACTACCTACCACTGGGCTTCCAGAAACTACCCTGATGGCATTTTCTTTCCCTCTTAGAATTCCAGTGCTGACCATCGTGTCCGACTAGACCTGGGCCTCTGGGACAAATTCAGTGAACTGGCCACCAAGTGCATTATCAAGATTGTGGAGTTTGCTAAACGTCTGCCAGGCTTCACCAGCTTGACCATTGCAGACCAAATCACCCTGCTGAAGGCCGCCTGCCTGGACATCCTGGTATGTACCTTTCTGAACTCTCGGTGTGTGTGCGTGTGTGTGCGTGTGTGTTTGGTGGGAGGGGGTGTTGAGGAGGGACAGAGGGAGGGAGCGAGGAAAGGAGGGGGACTGAGAGGCTCTGAGGATCTCCAGAGGAGGCTTCAGTTTCCCCAGCTCACTTCCTGCTGCCTCCCTGCTCAAACATGGAGTTCTATCCTCCCTGCACAAACTCACTTTGATTACCAAAAGCTCAGGACCCCTAGAGTTGGACAGAACCTTCCACCCTCTCTACCCAGTGTAGGAAAACCGTCCCCATGATCTTGAGAGAGGGGCCACCTGGTCCTAGCCACATGCCTTTCCTGGCATCCTGCTTGTTGCTTCCCGAGGCAACCTCTTCCAACGCGGGCCAGACCCGATCGTAGAAAGTTCATCCGGCTGGGAAGTGACTCTCTTCCTCCCTGCCCCTCACACTCACCATGCCCCAAATCTCATGGAACAGCCCTGGAGGCATTTGAAAGACCATCGAGATTCTCCAGGCTGAACCGACTGCAGGTGTGCAGTAGCACTTCCGCTCCACACCCCACCCTACCCCCCAGTCTTGCACACCTTAGTCTGTGGCCTTGGGAAAACCAATTCTCTCTGGTCTTATTTCAAGCTGCTGTAACAGAGATTGGCAGCTTAAACATCATTTATTTCTCACAGTTATGGAGGCTGAAAGTCTGAGATCAGGGAGGCAGCGTGGTGTGGTGGGGTTCTCGGTGAGGGCTCTCCTCTTGATGGCAAATGGCTGCATTCTTGCTGTATCCTCATGGGGTAGAGAGCGGGAGCTCTGGTCCCTTCATCTCCTTAAAAGGCACTAATCCCATCACTGAGGCTCCACCCTCATGACCTCATCTAAACCTAATCTCCCAGAGGCCCCATCTCCTAATACTATCACATTGGGGTCAGGGCTTCAACATATGGATTTTGGAGGGGACACATTCAGTCCATAGCACCTCCATGGGCCTCAGTTTCCTGAACTGTACAAAGGGGATCCCTGATGTCCCTTGGTTCCCTGCCCTTCTCTCCCTGCAGCTTCTAGAGCCTTAGAGAAGGTCAGGACACTGTCACACCCCATCCTCTGCAGGCTCCTGCTGGCTGGATGTTCACCCTTTCTCTCCCTGGTGGGGGCTTCAGGGATGGAGAAACCAGTTCTGACTGGGACTATTTCCTTGGATTGGGGAGCAGCTCCCATAAGAGGCAGAGGGCTCTATGTCCTGCCTGGGGGCGTGTGTGCAGAGAGGCCTGTGGAGGAAGTGGAAGGGGAGACCGGCCCCCAGGGACGCACCAGACCACAGAGAAAGTAGAATTAGCTTTTGAGGTGCTTTAAAAGCATAGATTTTTCTTTTTGTTATATCTTTCATAGCTTTGGGGATAAACCATTCTGTGAAGCAAATAGTGTTACTCTAATTAAACACGCACATACACAGCCCTACTCAGGACCCTGGATGGGGTGGTTGTGCAGGAAGTGTGAATGTTCACATGTCCTGCCATTTGCAGTTGGACTTGAGAAAAGTGGTGATGGTTACTCAGAAACCTGCAGGTGCCAGGGATCCTGAGAGCACGGCTGGTGTGTTTCCTTCTCATAAAGTCAGAAGGTCCGGGATGAACCTAGGAACATGCCAAGCCTCAGTTTACCTATGTACAAAATAGAAATATAAATCAATGAGGCATTAAATAAGGTGATTAGTTAAATGAGAGTAAACATGGTAATGGATATGAGCACCTAGTGTGTAGTAGATGTTCAGCTGAGGATGTCAGGCCGGAGTCAGGAAACTTTCAGCCACTCCTTCCTGGCCTCATGGGGACTAGAAGTCTGGGCTGGGGTTCAACAGTCAGAGGAGGAAAATGCCCTAGTAAGGGAAGGCCAAAGACCTCCAGTCACATGAGACAAAGCAGAAGGAATACTTATTTGGCTCCAGACAAGAGCTCATTTCTAAGAATTTGTAGCAAAGGCAATTAATCACAAGATCCTGGAAAATGCACAACTTCAAAGAGCATCTTTGGATGAGAGTATCAACTGGCTGAGCTGTTTGGGAGAATCTTCTTATCTCAGCCATTGGTGTACGGATAGAGTGAGACAGAGAGACCAGACTGACTGACAGAGAGGCTGAGGTTATTCTCAGCCCCTGGAAAGGAAAGTTGAGGTTGTCCCAGGGATCACCAGCCCTAACTGAGCGCCACCCATTCAGAGCCAACCCTCGTGTCATCTGTGGCCTCCCAACAACACAAGGCCATGCATCTGTGGCTGCACGCTTGTGGGGCTGGCGCCGTATTGGGGAGGTGCAGTCAGCGCAGCATGTGCAGCCAGGGCTCTGGGGGGAGAGGTCATTTATGTCACCAGGTGGGAGCCCCTCCTGGAGCAGGTAGAAGGGGAGGGAAAGCCTTTACCTATCTGCCCTCGCTCCCTGTCACATCACCCTCCAGAGGGATTTCCCACGCCAGCCTCTGCGTGGTGGGGACCCTCGGTGTGGACCCACTGCCAGGCTTCCCTCATGAGACTGGGGTGAGATTTGAGGCCCAGCTGTGAGCTTCATGCTTTTTCACAGGGGCCAAGTAGCCAGGATGTCTCTGTGAAGACAGGCAGGTGCCTCACGAGCACTGCAGGTGGAATCCTGTGCCCCTTCCTCACCCAGGAGCTGTGGCATCCTGGGCCGGGCTCAGGGCAAGCAGGGAGCCCCAGGAGTGGTCCCCTCACCTGAGCCCTGTCCCTGTTTCCTTCTTGCTTCATCCCCCTTATCTTCTGTATCCCTTTTCCACTCTGCGCTCTTTCCTGCCTTTTCTGCTCTGCATGCAGTTAGTGTCAAGTCTCTCTCAACTCAAAGTAAAAATCGTAAAAACAAACAACCCTTGAGGTGGTCTGACTCTGGCTTCTCTCCTCTTCCTCTCCCTGCCTTCCTCCTCCTTTCCTTTCTTCTGCAAGTAGTCACTGAGGAGCTGCTATGTGCCAGGCACTGTTCTAGGCTCTGAGGACACAGCAGTAACCAGACAGACTAAAATCGCAGCCCTCATGGAGATGAGCTTCTCTCTCCTGGGGGAGACGGATGGTAAGCAAGCACATAAATAGATGGGACAGTGTCTTTACAAGCTACAAAGACAAACAGAAGCAAGGCCAGGGTTGGAGTGTGGCCCAGGTGGGCAGGGGCTGCGGGGTTTCTTCTGTGCAGTTAGGGACATAGGGTACCTTTGAAGAGATCTGAAGGAAGGGACAGAAAGAGCCAGAACTAGGGAAGATGCTGACAGGAGAGGTATGTGAGCAGTAGGGGACCTAGAGAGAGTGGCGTTCAGAGGCCCTGGGCAGAAGAGCCCTGGCAGGCCTGAGGAAGGGAGTGTGCCCGGCAGGGCGAGCAAGGGCAGGGAGCGGGGCCTGGAGCGCACAGAACTTCATTCTCAGTGTCCTGAGGAACCGCTGTGTTTTGAGCAGAGGGGCTCTGTGGTCTGATTTTTGATTAAACGTTCACCCTGTCTTGTAATATGGTACTGAATGAATGTTGGTTGAAGTAATGATTCGCACACGTACTTACTGAGCACTTACTATGTGTCAGGCACAGGGGACAGGATGGTGGAGAGAAGAGGGGAGTCCCTGCAATCCTGGAATTTGCAGTCGAGCTCAGCCCGGACCTGCCGCCAGTTTTACCACGGCATCTCTCTCCCATCCAAACCTGGCTCCACCTTGACCCTGCCCCACTGTGGCTTGCCCCAGCTGGTGGTCATGGCCACGCTTGTGGGCTCTGAAGCCAGCTTGCCTGGGTTCGACATATGGCTCTGCTGCTTACTAGCTGTGTGACCTTGGGAAAGTTACTCCCCCTCTCTGAGCCTCAGTTTCCTCATATTTAAAATGAAGGGGATAATAGAAGCTTCCTTTCAGGATCTGGAGAGAATGAAATGAGGTGGCTCACAGGGCTTGGAGCAGTGTTCGCACGTCGTAGCCTCAGTCACCTTACACGTGACTAGTGTTATGCTTCACTACCCACTTGGGGGGTTATGTTATTACCTACATTTGCAGATGAGGCGACTGAGGCCCAAGTTGAAGTCAAAGGCCCATAAGGCTCCCCTGAGGGAGGTTTCAGCCTCTGGATAAAGGAGGCCAAAATTACCTTTAAAAGCAGAGAAACTCAAGCAATTTTCTGATGAGAAAGTAATTTGCTTTGCCAGGATTTGTTTAAAGACTGTGGTGGAGATCTCAGTAAGAAGCTATCTTTTTTACAATGAAATTAAACTGTGTGGGAACACAGCAAGGGATAGTGATTCACTTGGGATTCGAGTGAATCAGAGTTTTAGTGTCAGCCCCCTTGGTGGAATGATCCAGAAAGCCGGGAGGCCAGAGGGATGGTAGGTGGTGCTCTCCTGCTGCTCAGGAGAGGAGGCAAGAGCGTCCTCCTGACCGGGGCTCGTGGCTCTGCAGGGGTCACCAGGGAAAGAGCCGTGGCCTGTGCTTCTCACAGCTGGAACCTCAGAAGCAGGACTGCTGGTGTCTGCTCACCAGGCAGAAGCTGCCAGCCTGTCGCACCTCACCCGGGCTTCTCTCTCTGCTCGCTCACCTCCTGTCACTTCCTCGAGCTTCAGTCAAGCTCTCACCTCACCTGGAGCCTTGCACGCTGGGTTCCTTCTGTATGGAGTGCCTCCCTCCCCGTGCCTTTCTTCCTGCTCCTGTAGCAGCCTAAATGCCATCTCTTCAGCAAAGTCCTCCTGGCCAGCCACTCGATGCCACCCCACACCACAGGTCTCTGGTTGCACTTGACACAGTGCAATTAGAAGTGTGTTTACCAGTGTCTTCTACCCTGCACTGTTGGCTCAGGGAGGGCTGGAGCCATGTTTGGGTTGGTCTCTGTGGCAGAGTTCCAGGCACAAAAGAGGCATTTGGTGAATATTTGTGAGTGGGTGAATGGATGGATGAATGAGCAAATGAATTAAAAGTCAAAATTCAAATCCCAACCTATGTGCTGGTTTCTGAATATGGCGTCTATGCAAGCTTCAAATGT